GCCTAAAACAGGTATTAATGAACTAATCAAAATAACTGGACATTCCTCATTAACTTGATAACAAGTATCATACAATTCTCAGAGGTCATTATCAATAACAAAATCTACATCAGTAAGGGAGTCAATGTCAACAAAAGAAATTATATACAATTACTATTTAAAAATTTTCGTTCTAAAAAGCCTATGGCGTTTATTCGATCAAGATTTTTATGCCAAAACGTAAACTGTGTTATGTTGATCTTTCATGTTACTTTGACCTACATTAATACCGATTTTGTATTTTTATTCTGGAAGGTATTAATATTCAATGTTTAGGTTATTTTTGGACGTTCTAATATTTACTTGCAGTGGACATGACAAATATATTAATACAAAAAATAAAACAGCGATGAAGGGTTTTAATATTGCAGTGTTTTTGAATTGAACTTTAAGCTTTATTAATCCTATACCGGGTGTTCAAATTACAATTTATTTATAATGTATTAATTAATTTATGTAATACTTAGTACTTAGGTACTATTATAACTTATAATTTTAATTTATTACAATTTATCTTTTCTGTATAACACTTAATTAGAAAATTTTGTCCGTCAACAAACTCGCACTTTTTATATAAAGCCAGCTCTGTACCAGAACACTCTCGGCTTTCAAGAACGATCGAAAACTACCTTTCTATGAATTATACGCTGCAAAGGGATCTATCCGATAGCTTCTAGAAGCGGTGCATTTATCTCTATATGACCAGCGCAAGCAAGGAGTAAACAAGGAACAGAGGCGGTTGTCGCGCCACATTGCCCCCTCCTTAAGAAATAGTTCCTCCTGGGACCAAAACTGACTGATTGTATCTGCAACTGGACTCACTTTTACAATTTCCAACTTTCCATTTGTATGGAAATAATAAGGAACGGTTTTTGCTGAAACCAGGACACTAGGCGAATGGCTTCAGACCAGTATTTGGACTTCGGAATCTTGGAAGATTACTTCCAGCAAACTTCTAATGATCCTCCAATTTAGCTGGTTGCTCTCTATTTTAGGCAAGGCTAGTTTCTGTACATTGGACTCCACTACGAGCTCTCTCAGACTAAGTAAGTACATCATGATAAGTGAATCGATCTCGGAAGGTGTTCTTTGTTATCAAATAGAAAATATATCGCAATCCATCTTGAAGTTTCAATGTCTTTCCAGGGGCTGGTAACTGAACTTGAAGTTCTGGCAGTCGACCAACCTTTTTCCGGAACACAAATGCCACACCTAGATCGTCGTTGATGCTGGCGGAAGTGCTATAGACCAGCGAGTAGTGTTTAGGAACCATGAGCATATCTTATTGTTGCTCGGTTATAACACCATATCTTGATTTTCGGTACCTCCATATGCACCCATAAATTTTTCAAAGACCAGGTCAGGTGATTCTCGGAGCTGGTTTACTTCTTCTTCCTCGTCCAACCTTTTCATCGTTCCATCATTACAGGTGTTCCTTCTTTCATAGTTTCTTGAAGCCGTGCTACTATAATGGATGTACTGTCCCCATATGGACGTAGGAATACCTCTTCGGCACCAATTTTAATCACTCTGTTCTTAAAGTCTAATTGGAAACCATGTAAGTTTATTACATCCATTCCAAGAATAGCGACAATAACAGTCTGAGTGAACTTTTCTGTACCAATTCCCAATTGAACCTGGATTTCCCCATGGATGTTGGCCCTTTCACCTGTAGCAGTCTGCAGTCGAAATCTTGTTGGTAGAAGTCTCTTACGGTTATTTATGGTTGTTGGTCGTATAATGGTCCTAGTTGCTTTAATATCCACAAACAATGCATACGTTTTACCATTTACTTCATCGTCTACGTATCATATTGTACCATACTGACATTTCAAAGAGGCTATCAGTATAAGAAGGTCTTTGGAACGATTTCGAGTCGAAGCTGCTCCCTCTAGGCCGATCCGCTTTAGTTTTTCTGCGGCGTGTTTTCAGTTGTTGGGATCCTAGGGCGTTCGTACATGTCCCAGTTCACCACAATTTCAGCACCTGATAGTCTTCATACTAACTATATGTGCATATAAGCTGTTTTTCAACAATTTTTTTTTTTTAATTTTCTGTTACATTTTGTTAATAATATACGATTCTAGATTGTCAATTGATAATATGGCACTTTGAAAAATTTGCTGAAGTACGGAGTTTGCGAGTCTTTTCCTGAACAGCAGGGTAAAACAACGGTTGGTCAACTATAGACTAAAATCAACCACGTCCGCTATTTCAGTATCGCTGCAGTCGTGGAGTGTAGTGAAACATGGTAATGACAGATATATTAATGATTATTATCAGGGTGTCATGGCCGAAAAGGAATCTTACTAAATTATGTGAGCTTATTTATATTGTTAAAGGTTGCAATTGGTTGTGTTTTCATATTTAATTTATTTCGCTGAACCACAGTATAGGGAACAGAATGTTCGCAAGGTCTGAGCATCAGAACTGCGTTGATTGCGATGTCATTTTGTTAGGATTTTTTTCATTGTCAACAGATGTTCTGTGCAGTGGTTTCCAATGCTTTTTTGGTAGTCTTCTGCCAGTGTTGTATCCAGACAGTTATCAGTTGGTGTTTCAAAACCGTTTGAAATATATCAAAGACGGTCCTGTGCTGGCGAACCCTAGTGTTTATTATTAACAGCTGTAAACAAACATGCACGTGACAATAATCGTGTTCGCAAAGCGATATCGGCGCGAAACACTCAAGGCTTACTAGCTTAGGTCACGTAGCCATATATGTATCTCTTTCTTTCAAACGACACAAAACTGCATACAAGTCTGTGCTTTGATTAAAGACAGACGTGCTCTCATTAACATCATGACAATTCTTTTCTGTTATATAAATCACTTAAGTTCTCTGAGCAAAGATAAGAATACATAAAATAAAATGTGAAACCATAATGTAGTGTAGATAGTTATTAAATAAAAATAATGTAAATATGTACAGATTTGAAAGTTGTCATGCAGCTTTTTGGCACAATAAATTGTTTTTTACAAAGTGTTGGAATTTCATTGTCCATATAGATATGGTTACATCTAGCACCGAGAGGAGAGACAGTCCATTTGGCAAGCTTGCCTTAGGGCAGTATTTATAATTTGTCTTGAGTTCAACTTTTAATAACCTACAAATCCAACAGCTGGGCTATTGTCAAGTAATTTCTCTTTTCAGTGGCGGTCTCCATTTAATGACATTAAGAACAATAAACTGGAAGCGTTTCGTTTTCTTTTGCCTACCCTGTAGTATATAGGCACTGACAGATTATAGCAATTTTCTAAATTAACCCTGTAGAGGACCTCTTTTTAAAAAACAATTGCTAACTTTGACTATTTAAATTTCAAGTTTTTAAAATTGTAAAATTATAACCAAACATTTTTATTCACAATTATTTATCGAATATTGAAACGGAATTTTCTATAAAGAGACCGAAAGAAAAATATTTTGGAGATTTTTTTACTTTACTTTTTAGCACATGCGTTGATATACTTTTCGAGACATGCCTGATATACTTTTCAGTAGGTACATGTGCGATAATGTTTAATTAATTTTCTTATTTGATTTTTTTACATGGTCATAGAAAAAATAGTGTATATAACTCGTTGTAAAATGTATTTCTCGCACTCATTTAGTTTCCTTCAACACTTTCCACACTTGTTACATAATATACCATTCCCGACCATTTTATTTCACTTTTAAAATCGCTATTATTTTAAAATTCTCCGCCTCTTTGATCGCATTGGACGATCGATGTTTCATCGTGTGATACAAATGCCGGATATAGAATATTATTTGTAAAATTGTCGCAGAGTATCTTGCTTGTTGTGACTCCTCCCTTCCAAATAATATCACAACAACCCTTAGCGACCAATAAACGTATATAAACAAAGGCGGGGTTCGATTTATTTGGGTACACCGATACGGAGAATATTAGAAATAACAATTAGGTATTTCACAATAAAATAGAAGAAAATGAAGGAATTAAAAAGTAAAATCGACATTTTTAATTGAATAGTGTGCCAGTGTAAAGTTATCAGTAACTTATAGCTGTAAAAATAACCGGAAATACCCGATCGGGAAAACAGTGGCGTCCTATTTATTTATTATCCAATCAACGGTACAAACTTATTACAGGTGGAATACATATCAAAAATAAAATAAAAATAAAATAAAAATAAAATAAAAATGACATACATAAAATACATCAAAACATAAACATTAAATTTACAAAACAAAAACGAATTAGGACGATAATACAACTAAGTAAAACTAAAACTAGATACATTAAATAATAAAACTGAAGTAAAATAAGACGTACCCGTACAAGATAAAACTAGGTATTACCTAAACCTAAACAATTTTTTTATATCACATTCTCTACAATTGAAAATATCAGTTATGATAGTGAGCATTAAAATTGGTTTGCATTTGATAAAGTGGTGATTGTAATAAAATGTTTATTCGCGGTATGAGCAAAGAAAACGTTTGTTGATTTCTCGAGGTAATACGAGGAACCTGTAAACGTATTTGCGACAAAAGTTCTGCACAATTAATTTTGTAGTTCATGAGTTTATACAAAAATGATATAGAATGCATTACTCGACGATCTTGAAGATTTACACAATTAAAATTTTGAAGCAATTAATCTTGTGGAAATCCGCGAGGGGGGTAATAATCGTAAATTTTAAAATGGAGGCTTTTCAAGAATCGTCTCTGTACTTTTTCTAGGTTTGCAATATGAACGTCATATATTGGGGACTTCACTGCGCTTACGTATTCTAGTTTGGATATAACGAGTGAACTAAATAACATTTTGCATGTGTCTATAAGTACTTTTGAAATTATTCACATTTTGTTGTTTCTTTGGAAATTATACGTATATTTTCGAAACATAGTTAAGACTGGATGTTTTGGATATAAATCATGTATAATACTAGCACTCAATTGGTGCGTAAATAAATGTTTAATAAAACGTTCTTACCTTGAAAGTTTTGTAAGAAGACACAACATAGGAAGCACCGTCTTCTAATTCGTCTAACCTATATTTTCTATCGCCGTCCATAGAAAAAATATATCTAGCACCACGCGGCAAGTCCATCCTTAACGATAATTTGTCTAAAAGCGATTCTAAGCTCACTATGTCTCTTCCAGGCTTGAATCTGTACAAACAAAGTAACATAATTTAATATGATAATTTGATATGATAACAATTAAAGATGATAATTAGAGATGATGATAATTAGAGGAGATGATAATTAGAGATGATGATAATTAGAGATGATGATAATTAGAGATGATGATAATTAGAGATGATGATAATTAGAGATGATGATGATAATTAGAGTTGATGATAATTAAAGATGATGGTAATTAGATGATAATTAGATGATAATTATATGATAATTAGATGATAATTAGATGGTAATTAGATGATAATTAGATGATAATTAGATGATAATTATATGATAATTATATGATAATTAGATGATAATTAGATGATAATTAGATGATAATTAGATGATAATTGAATGATAATTAAATGATAATTAGATGATAATTAGATGATAATTAGATGATAATTAGATGATAATTAGATGATAATTAGATGATAATTAGATGATAATTAGATGATAATTAGATGATGATAATTAGATGATAATTAGATGATAATTAGATGATAATTAGATGATAATTAGATGATAATTAGATGATTATTAGATGATAATTAGATGATAATTAGATGATAATTAGATGATAATTAGATGATAATTAGATGATAATTAGATGATAATTAGATGATAATTAGATGATACTTATTTGATAATTAGATGATAATTAGATGATAATTAGATGATAATTAGATGATAATTAGATGATAATTAGATGATAATTAGATGATCGGGACGGGGGTGTAGCGGTCTATCGCGCTTATATTCATTTATAGGCAAGTTTATGAGTCTGAGACTGCTGGGTTTCGAATCCCAGACCAGACCATGTGGATTTTTAATTAAATTGCATGGTTCGGTTTAGGATTTGATGTGTGGCGTATTAATAGAAATTCAATTTCTGTTGATATGACATGCAGATTAAAAAAATTCGCCATACATTACCGTCTCGATGATGGTGGTTGAGGTTTTCCGGGTTTTCCTCACCTGTAAGTCAAATGGCACCATCAATCATCTTTAAGGCTCCCCGGAGCGCCACGGCAAATAATAATAATAGCCGTCCCTTCCCCTACACAAGTCGTTCAGTCGACTTCAGGGGTTGAAATTCACTCGTAAGGGGGTGAATTAGGGAGAGTATTATTATATTATTATTATTATTATTATTATTATTATTATTATTATTATTATTATTATTATTATTATTATTATTATTATTATTATTATTATTATTATTATTATTATTATTATTATTATTATTATTATTATTATTATTATTATTATTATTATTATTATTATTATTATTATTATTATTATTATTATTATTATTATTATTATTATTATTATTATTATTATTATTATTATTATTATTATTATTATTATTATTATTATTATTATTATTATTATTATTATTATTATTATTATTATTATTATTATTATTATTATTATTATTATTATTATTATTATTATTATTATTATTATTATTATTATTATTATTATATAATTAGATGATAATTAGATGGTAATTAGATGATAATTAGATGATAATTATATGATAATTATATGATAATTAGATGATAATTATATGATAATTAGATGATAATTATATGATAATTATATGATAATTAGATGATAATTAGATGATAATTAGATGATAATTGGATGATAATTGGATGATAATTAGATGATAATTAGATGATAATTAGATGATAATTAGATGATAATTAGATGATAATTAGATGATAATTAGATGATAATTAGATGATAATTAGATGATAATTAGAGATGATAATTAGAGATGATAATTAGAGATGATAATTAGAGATGATAATTAGATATGATAATTAGAGATGATAATTAGAGATGATAATTAGAGATGATAATTAGAGATGATAATTAGAGATGATAATTAGAGATGATAATTAGAGATGATAATTAGAGATGATAATTAGAGATGATAATTAGAGATGATAATTAGAGATGATAATTAGAGATGATAATTAGAGATGAAAATTATAGAAATAATAATTAAAGATAATAATTAGATATGCTAATTTGAGATAATTTTAAGTAATTTTTTTTCGAAAAAATTATATTGCTCACCTGAATTCGATACCAGGAAAAAAGGGATCGCCATTTTTGTAGAAGATTACCCTCCTTGCTCTCCAATAAGACAAATTGGAGTATCGGCTGGCCGTCATCGTCATCTCCGCTCGACTTTTCGGTCTAGGGGGTGGGGCAGCCGGTACCATCGAGGAAACGTCACTGGCATTATCGGCCATAGAAGGGGAGCCGGGCCTGGAGGCCGCCGCTGAGCGCCAGTAGCCACCTAAAGAAAGAAAGCATTTGTTTTACTGGTATTCCAACTTTATCGAGACTAAGGCCCCACAGATACAATAAAAATAAAAAACGAGACTATATTTTGAACGAAAGACGGTGATAAATATTAAAACGTTAAATTTTTAGGTTTGTAAAGATTGGCGTAACCTTTATAAACCACGTAAATGTTCTTCACTAGTCCTGGACTTAAGAACCATTCTACATGCCCTTTATGTAAAATATTTGGGCCCTTTACCTGTTAAACCTGCTTTTGTAAAATATTTGGGAATCTTACCCCTTAAGCATGTTTATCTAACAATATTTGGTGTCTTAAGCCTGTCCATATAAAATTAGTTAGTCCCTTGACCCATTTAAAAATATTTGGTCCCTTTGCTCTTTAAGCTTGCCCACGTAAAAATAGTTGATCCTTTTAAGACTACTATGTATATTTGATTCTAATATCAAATTTAGAGAGTTCCATTCTGGAGTTCGTTAAAGGTTAAGCAACAATTATTGTTACTTCATCATCGTATGTGAATATATTTTTAGATCATTTGATTGAATTCTGACTAAGGTTAAACTAGTCAATATATATTTATTGAATCTGTGTAACATTTTATCATCGATTTAATTCAATCATAGAACCTATATTGTGAACGAACGTATACAACATGTCAAAAATTTAGAAAATGCGAAGGTTTCGGTTTTCCAATGAATCATCATTGTTGTATTCTTAACGAAATAATTAAAATTCTTGATTTAATGTTATTGTTTTATATTTAATGAATTTGTGCCACTATATTGTCTGATATCATGTTAAAACTAATTGTAATTCTACACCATGCAACTTTTTTCTTTTTGTCTCAATTTATTTGGTAATTTTCCTTATATTTTGTTCAATTCATTAAATGTAAACCGGACTTCTTGCGAAAAGCAAACATTTGAAGATTTTCTAATATAAATTTTGTATTTATAAACACGTTGAATACTTCGAGAAGTTATGTGTCTCGAGAATATTAAGAGCTTTAAATTTGTGCAACGACAAGGCAGTGCTCTGCAAAGATATTTAATAAAAAAAAAAAGGGTGGGTAACCCTCTTATTTAAAAACTACTAGATATTTAATAAAACAGGAAGCAGCCCATTTTTATTGATTTAATATAGAACGGCCTGTTTTTAAAATTAAGTCATCAAAATAAATACTATTCGAAGGTTTATAAAAGTTATTGGAATTTTTTTGAAAATTTCACAAAAATCGTACCAAAAATAAAGATGTTTATTATGTTTATATTTATGTTTATTATGTTTATTATGTTTATTATGTTTCTTATGTTTATTATGTTTATTATGTTTATTATGTTTATTATGTTTATTATGTTTATTATGTTTATTATGTTTATTATGTTTATTATGTTTATTATGTTTATTATGTTTATTATGTTTATTATGTTTATTATGTTTATTATGTTTATTATGTTTATTATGTTTATTATGTTTATTATGTTTATTATGTTTATTATGTTTATTATGTTTATTATGTTTATTATGTTTATTATGTTTATTATGTTTATTATGTTTATTATGTTTATTATATTTATTATGTTTATTATGTTTATTATGTTTATTATGTTTATTATGTTTATTATGTTTATTATGTTTATTATGTTTATTATGTTTATTATGTTTATTATGTTTATTATGTTTATTATGTTTATTATGTTTATTATGTTTATTATGTTTATTATGTTTATTATGTTTATTATGTTTATTATGTTTATTATGTTTATTATGTTTATTATGTTTATTATGTTTATTATGTTTATTATGTTTATTATGTTTATTATGTTTATTATGTTTATTATGTTTATTATGTTTATTATGTTTATTATGTTTATTATGTTTATTATGTTTATTATGTTTATTATGTTTATTATGTTTATTATGTTTATTATGTTTATTATGTTTATTATGTTTATTATGTTTATTATGTTTATTATGTTTATTATGTTTATTATGTTTATTATGTTTATTATGTTTATTATGTTTATTATGTTTATTATGTTTATTATGTTTATTATGTTTATTATGTTTATTATGTTTATTATGTTTATTATGTTTATTATGTTTATTATATTTTATTTTGTGTAAAGTCATACATTCCTTATATCTATGAAAATTATAAAAACACAACAAACATTAACTAAAGAAAAAATAAAATGAGATTTGACAAATGCACTACCTATATGAAATAAAACAAATCAGAATTCTAAATCATCGAACACAGAACAACTGAAGATTCTTTGAATAAAATTATAAAATAATCATATTTCAACTGAAATTTTGGACATCGTTTTCATAGCTAACATAACTTCAGAATATATAATATGTATAACTAAAATAAATATATAGGTAATAAATATTATAAAATATATTAAAAGAATAAACATAGTGGACCACTTTCTCTTGGGCATCGTTTTTAAAACTTTGTCCATAGGTATTTTTTAAATTTTAACTAAAATTGTGGACCTTATCTTTATAACTAATATATTGTTTGTAAAAATAATTTAGTTGGTTATAATTGGTGGACACCTTAGTTGTCTAGGTGTCCAAGATGGCTTAATACATTTAAATAATCACTTGTGAGTTGAAATCTCGGACATCGTCTTCATACCTAACAATTTTTGAGAAGAATCTAGGTGTTCTGGGTGTCTAAGGTGACTTAATTAGACCCAGTAATGTCTTATTCCGAAAGAATATGGTCAAAATGGAAAAATTTATTAAAAATAATGCACATTCTGGATACCTTCTTCATGGGCGATATTTTCTAATATCTAGTTAGTTGAAGTGGAGAGAACTTCCAGTTAATTTTGAAAGAATTTCCACTTTTTAAAAAATGTCTTAACATTTTCTTTATTTAAAGAATATGACGTACCCTCTTTCTACCCACAAACGCCCCTTTCAAGTAGCGGTTTGGTTCTACCATCATTCTTAATTTATACTTTATGCACCTTCGCCAATTATGACGATTAAACGAAATATAAAATATTACTGGTTTCCGAAATAGAGGGTGTTTAAGTTGAAAATTAAAAAAATATTAATAGCTATATTTTTTTTTTATTTCTCAGTATAATTTTACTAAATTCGGTAAATATTTTTGGTGTAATCAGGTACATACATCAGCAAAACAATCAGTTAAATAAACTTTATCAGTGGCGTACGTTATGGATAAGTAACACCTTCATTCCCTCTAAATTTTACGCCACTGTCCAAAAACTCATTTGGACTATACTTTTACATTTTTGATGTTTTTTTAAATATATCATGAACGCTTGTTGGGAACTAATCAAGTAATTGGTTTTGATTAATTGAAGAAAACGATGTTAAAAGATATAACGGAGACACTTAAATCATGATTAAGTTATAATAATTGCATAATAGGAGGTCCTTGCTGAAAGAAGTGGACAGCTCCATTTTTATTAACTTTTCGTAAATAAGAAAATAACGTTGCTTGTTATTACCAAAACAAAACATTCTAATCAAAAGGTGTCATATTTACATGTAACCTACAAATTTTCTTTTTAATACATTTTTGTTTGAAAGAAAAAATAAAAAACAATTGGAGCTACCTTGTCTTGCACTAAATTTGAAAAAAGTATAAAAGAAAAGTTTAATATATAGCTGCCCCCTTCTTCCAGAAAGATCCTTAATTGCATAAACAACCGAGATTATCTGTCAAATTTTTTTTTTTAACTTAATCAACTCACAATATACCGGGAATATTTATTTATTGTATTTAATACATTTATTATTACATTGTATATGAACTAGCAACTAAATGGGGTGCTTATCTTTAATCTATGGCATATTTACGCATTTTATTTTATTACTAACCCTGTACGACCATGTATTCTACGAAATATCAGCGCCATCTATGTCGACACTCACCGTTACCGTTCCCTCCTTCGTCCTCCTCGTCCGTGTCCCCTCTGCGTGCTGCTCGCCTGTGATTCCCAGCGGTGATGGCGCCTGCACGAACGCCGTTCCCGACGCCTTCACGATTCGAACTGGCCGTCGCCACGACGCCGCCGCCCCCGTTTACCAGTTTTTCGTCGTCCTCTTCTTCGCCGGGCTCGTAGTAATCTTCGTCTTGCGATCGGCCGTTGACCGTAGCGGCCTCTGGCGGCGGGTTGCCGTTGCCTGGAGCTCGGGAGGCGGTGTCTTCGTCGGCCGCCGGGTCGGCGTCGGCGTCGTCTTCTTCTTCGTAGTGTTGCATGCGGCTGCCGGCGCGAGATGGGGCCACCGACTGGAATAGAAAAATAAAAAAATGAAGATCAATAGGAAGTGAAGGAGTTAAGGGTTGTTGATATATTTAAAAAATCGTAACTCAAAAACGAAAAAATTATTCCAACATGAAATTTTTAGCAAAAAGCATGATTTGTAATAGGACGAAGCTTATTGATTTAAAAAAATGAATCTGAATATAAATATGGGGAGATAGGGGGCTGATATTAAAAAAAATCCGAAATCAAAAACGAAAAGTGATATCATCATCAAAACTTAAATACTGTTCTGTTATTTGGAATCCCGTGCATAACATTTATACTGACTTACTCGAAAAAGTTCCAAGAAAATTCATGAAATCGACTTCCTACATTTTAGACGGTATATACCCTACAAGGGGATATCCCCACGCTTTACTAATATCTAGATTCAATCTTTCAGAGCTCGTGATACGCAGAAATTTCCATCAGGTACTCCTACTTTATAATCTTTTAAATGGCTCAGTCGACAGTATTGATTTGTTACATTACGTTAATCTAAAAATCCCCCGTGCTGGTTTGAGAGTTTACTTGAGTTTCTACATGCCAGCTTCTAGAACTAATGTTTTGAACTCATCTCCAATGTACCAATCTATTCAAAAATATCATGAAATTCAAGACAGCTTGGACATTTTTGAATGTAAAAAATATATGACTAAAAATGTTTTTTCTTTAACAATGTAAAAAAAAATTATGTAAAGCAAGTAATGCGATGTAGGCAACCATTTATTTAATCCTGTGTTCGGTCAGTTTTTTTCTGGGTGTTTACATTGTATTGTATAGCTTTTTAACAATTTTGTATTTGTATTTATATTCTAATGTTTTGTCTTTCCCACCCAGTAAATGGTGATTGCTGTTGGGTGGTGTAACAAATAAATAAATAAAATAAACTAAAAATCAGTTCTGAGGGTTAGTGAGTTAAGAAAAGTTTGGAAGAAAAGGGAACAGCAAATAAATGGCTAGATAAAATGTATGAGCAAGTCTCTGAGGGAGGCGCATAACTAGGGATCAACAAGTATCGGGATACGGGATTGTGTCACTTAAAGGGTGGAACAACAAAATTATATTGTTAAGTCACATTAACCCATTTAAGTTTTGCAAAAACATCATATAAAAATAATTTATAAAAAAAGATGAACTATTTAATATTTCCAAGGCTTTTAAAAAATTTTATTACAAAAAAAAAATGTTAAACATTAGTATTTAAAAAATACAGGATGTCTCAATGAAAAGTAGTCCATTTCCAGAGCTTATAACTTTTTAAAAAATCGTAGAAACGAGCGGTTTTTGCTGATATGTGTTATTTTGCTATAAGTTTTGCTTCAGTGACACAGAAATTATGTATTACCTATACAGGGTGTTTTTTAAAAATCTCTTCTTTTAAATTCACCGTAACCAAATTTTATCAAATGAAAGGAATACATTCATTATAATGGAAGTAGCTGGTTTTTCGAAAAAAATCTCGGACAGGTCAATTTGTTTATTAAAAGCGCAATTTTTCAAAACGAATTTAAGTTTCCACCACTTCTCATTTTTGGGCAGTGACGCCATTGACGATTTGTTTTAAATAGTAACCCCAATTTTTTTCCTGAATTTGATAGATCTTGCAGTTTCCTACTCGGAAACACAACAAATTTTTTGAATAAAAGTCATTTAAAGTTCAGACACATAAATTTTACTTTAATTTGAGAATACAATAAACGAATGAAAAATAATTATTTGTAATTAAATGCTTAATCTATCAAAAAAGTAATAATTAATAATAATATTAAATAATTTAAGCAAATTTAGCAAAATAATTCAAAAATATTCTAATAAATTAGGTTTTCTCCACCGACGTCTTGCTTTTCTTGCTTTTTATTATTACAATACATATTATTGTTATTATTATTCATTAAATGCAACCAAATCTATATCAAGTGCTCAAATTGTTGACCCTCAGCTAAAATACAATGGAAAAGACGTGCAGCCATCTGGACGTGCTCCAAAATCTCCGGAGTCATGTTTACAATCTCAATACGTACCCGTTCTTTGAGATCATTGATATTTTGTGGTTTATTTTAGAACACTTTACTTTTCAAGTATCCCCATACACTTTACTTTTCAAGTATCCCCATAAAAAGAAATCAAAAGGAGGCAAATCGGGTGGCCTAGGAGGCCATTATATTAATCCTCTTCGACCTATACACCGATTTGGGAAGATGTTGTATAAGTAATTTCGCACCAAGATAGTGCGGTAGCCATTGTGTTCTCTGGGTAATTACTAAATAATTATTAATTAATAGAATCAAACATCAGAAGTAGGATTCGCTCACTAAAAGTACCATGAAAGTACCTGTGGGTTAACTATTTCTGTGAGTATTTCCAAGATTATTAATTCGTTAAATTTATCAGTTGAAAGATAGTTAAGATTATTATTGGCCATATTGGCGAATGTCTCTTTTTGTGTTAATGAGATTGTTATTGGCGATATTGATGATATTCATTTGAAATACCGTTATCTTGTAAAGGTAAATAATTGTATTAGCCGATAGAAATAATGTTATTTTCGTGTTTAAAAAAAAAATTGCTTATTGTTTTAAAAAGAAACTACCAACCATATAGCTCTAGAATAAATTATATTATTTATTGATTTTCATAGTTCTTTTTGGAATAAATTTATAATTTAACTGTGCGATAGATACCGTAGAGAAATTTAATTTTGAGCACTGATAACGTTAAAAGGTGTACGCAACATAACTTTTAAAAATAGTAAATTACTATTAAGAATTGAATGTAATGGTATAGGTTCCAAAATTTGTTTTTATGATGTGGACAATTCAGCAGTGATCTACTAAACTATTTTGGACAGATAGTGTCTTTATTTGCAGTCCTTTAATTTTGAATTTTAGTAAAAATTCGATCATCGAAAAAAGATGTTTTCTTTAAAGAAAAGTATATTATCTCTATCAATAACCGGCTGAGAAAAGCTTAGAAAGACAAAACGTAAAGAAACTCAAACATTTATTGTTAAATTTGTTTAAGTTTGAAAATAACTATTCAACAATAAATACCACTGAGTTAAAAATAAAGCTATTTAGTGACCAAGTCATTAATTGTCACACGTACCGTTTGTCGGCAAAGAGAAGAGAAAAGGTTTGGGAAATTATATCTGAACTTGCTTAAAAATAAATATTCCGTTTCATACAATTCGTATTGATTGTGTTAATCTATAGTTTAAAACAGTAGCGGCTCGTGGGGTGGTTCACAGTGGCAGAATATAGGTATCGTACATATGTATGAAAAAACTTTCAGTGTTTTAGAAAGTTTATAATATACCTTTCTAAAACACTGACATTTTTTACCTATATTTGTACCGGAATCTATATTCTGCTACTGTGAACCCCCAAAATTTTGGTCACGAGCCGCCCCTTGTTTAAAATAACAAATAACCACAGCTGGTTTTAAACGTGCTTTATTTGTATAACGATATTTTGTACGCTGGCACGTATTATAATTGACCGTGCAACAAATTTTACCGATAAAAAATCCTTATTCGTAAATATAAATATTGAGCATCATTTAATTATAGCAGGGGCGCTACTGGACAAGTTGAAAGGTATGTTGTAACAATATTTAATTAATTAATTAATTAACTATTGAAGTTCGAAATTTGTCAGAATAGACGAACGCTCTTTCCAAATTACGATTAACTTTTAATTCTACTATTCGGAAAGTTAAGTACAGGTCAGGTTAATCCCTAAGGAGTATCTCTGAACTTAACGTTGTATTCATGTCACCAGAAAGTCAAGTACAGGTCAGGTTAATTCCTGAAGAGTATCTCTGAACTTCTCTGTTTTAATTTAGTAACACAGTTAAGTACAGGCCAGTTAAATAACTGTGGAGTACCTCTGAACTTCCATTTAAATATTTTGCTTTTGTGAGTAAAAAATTAAGTACGGGTCAGTTAAATATTTGAGGAGGAGTACTTCTGAACCTTAATTTAATGCTTTTGGTTTTCTGATTAAAGAAGTTAAGTATAGGTCAGCCAAATATCTGAGGAATACCTCTGAACTTATTGCTTTTACTTTTGTCTGCTTAGCAGAAATTTAGTGAAATCTTTTGAAATATTAAATATAGTGTAATTGTTAGTATCGTGCAAGGTTTATGTTTTATAAATGTGGTCTGATGAATGGTACGACGAACCTGAGGATTCAAAATCACAGAAAAAATCGGACGTACTAAAGAATTATCGCCTAATATACATAAAAAAAATATTCAGATGAATTGAGAACTTCCTCCTTTTTGAAGTCGGTTAAAAATATTTTATGCGACCGACTCGCGACGACAGAATATTTTTTGCTCTGTATGTTACGGTTATTTAACTACAAAGGATGATAGGAAAGATTTCTCGAATTTTTTATCGACTGAATCAACGCAATTCTACTTTTGAGTGTAAAATGTAACGGTGCAACACAAAAATGGGCGGTATTAGGACATATTATCCTATTTTTTTTTCTGTTATAATAGATGTACTATTTATGCAGTGTTTTTAAAACACCTTGCATAAGTCCATATAAAAAGCAAAAAAAAATTAAAAAAAATAGTTTCCAAAAACAATGAATCATTTTAAAAAATGGTGGTATACATTGCACCTTCGCCAACTTTTTTTATGAAGTTTTTTATAATCTTTGTTGTAAAAATACCAAAAAACAGCTAATACAGACTAGGGGTGGGATTACAGAACGTCTGCAACTTTGCTAATATGGCAGCAACTTTGCAGATCTGCAAATTTGGCAGCAACTTTGCAGACCTGCAAATATCGCGGACTTACAAATGCAAGTACATATCAAGTTTTCGTATTCCAAAAAATATCTGCAAATTCGCAATATGTATTTTGGTTTGTTACCCCCAACAACACTAAACCCAAAACCACCTTTAAGGAGGTTAGAACATCCTATAAACTTGCAGATAGCCAATGTGTACTTTACTTTTTTTTTAATAACCAGTCTTCTGTTCCTTTTGATTGAATACAGTTCGTGGTGTCAGATTTACGAGTTTTTAAACATAATAATGGATTTGGGTTTGGAGTTTAGTCCGTCATATTTGCAAATCTACAAAGTTACAGACGTTCTGTAATCTCACCCTAAATTACTTTATCCCTTACTCATTTATTTCCCTTCTACATGAATCACGACTTTAGAATCTAACGTAATAATCTATTGCTAATAATACAAGGTCATATAGTACGGTCAATTTCTTTGTTTAACTTTTTACAAATTTATATTTTTTTTTGTTGCTAAAAAATCAGATTTCAAAAGGATTCAAAGAATAACACTAAAATTTTAAAAAATGGCGGATTAATTTTTTCTGTTCGCCAAAATATTTGTGATATGATATAATCAGACTTACAACCCTAGTTGCGTACTACAAAAAATAAGCACGTGAAGACAAAAATAAATACAGAAGAAAATATTAACAAATATAGACAAATAAGTGTTAGACAAAATAACAGAACAAAAGAGTAATTATTTTAATTATAAAAGGTAGTGTCAGAAACACTTTTTCAATAGTAACTTTTAAATTTGCTTCTCCACGGCCACTACTGAATGTAGTTTTTCCAAAACTTCTTATAATAACAAAGATAACATTCTTGCTCTTGAGATTGAAAGAATATTCTAAAACACTTTCTATGTATCTTACACGTATTTCATTATAACTTTAAAGACAAAATGTTCATTATGTAACAGCTACTGGCCAATGGCTATCAATACTACGCCCGCATCGTAGATAGTCATGAATATCATGACTGACAGTTCTACGCGACATATTAGTGTTTGGTTTGAATTTGCATGAGTAAAAATAAGTAGCATTTGATAAGTCGAACTTAAATTCAAAAATTGATGAAAATAATGATGTTTATATGGAATTTTATAACATTCCTCATAAACTGACGATTTACGCAAATAATTTAAATAGAAACTTGCCTAACATAAGTGTCTATGACCGTGGAGAAAATACAGTCCAAAAAAGCTCTTACGTTTATTATAAGAATGATATGCTCTTAAAACCAACTATCGCGTACTTGATTCAAGCATTTAAATTTCAGAACCAGAATTAAACAATTCGAATCAAAAACCTATGTGCTTTACAAAAGATTAGCGAGTACAAATTCACTGCACGGTGTTGCCAGCTGAAACTTATTTTAAAATGCAACCACTGCATTGGTACGGTAGATATGTGACTGGTACATGTTGTGATATAATACTTATTACTCGGAAGTCAGAGACACGACGCATTTATAGAGAATCTGGCAAATTGGCATTAGCACGTGTTCATCCTATTGGTCATTTTCTAACCACTTTGCTTCGTATCGTTAGGGTTGCGTTCTAATTTTTGTTAGAAATTCTTTGTAATTCTATTAATAAGTGTATGAATAAATTAAATTGAAATGGAAGATTTGTTAGATGGATGCGGGCCTCAGCGACCTGATACCAATACTTAAATGTAAGTATATTTAGTACACTTCTTGTTAGGTATTATATTATACCTATATAAGTGAATTTATAATCATAAGAACACGAAACAAACTGGAATAGAATTTAAAAAATGTATGATGCTGGATGACGACTTTTTGGAAAAACGACTTCTGCCTTGCTAAGACAAAAGGTCGTATCTACGAAAATTCCGATTTCAAGATTTTTACAAATTTAATAAGCTCACATTTTATTTTATCATGACAAAAAATAATAAAGGCCTATTTGCTTGGAAAATATTAACTATAATTATAAGAAAAGGTTAGTAAAATATGCAAAACTTATTTGCGAAGTCTAAAAGGACGTAATTATCTAACTATCCACATTTACTAAAAATATTCATTTTATAGATATGACCTTTTATCTTAGCAGTACAAACTTTTATGTTCCATTTAGGTTTTGTAGTTATATAATTATTTTTTTAATTATAGCTGGGACACCTCCGAAGACAGGGAAATTTGACAATTTTGAAAAATGTTTTTCGGTAGCCATATCATATACATTCACAAATCTCCCTTTATGCTTGTATTATAATAATAAAAAACATAGTTAACAGTGTTTTATTTTGCTCTTAACTACTATAATTAGGTATAATTTAAAAAAATTTAGACACAAAATTGTATTTACCAAATTTCATACCTACCAAAATTGCACTTTATATAAATAAAATTGAATAATTTATCAATTAAAACATGCGAGACTTATTTAGAAATAAATACAACAATATATTCTGTGCTTTATTTGGCAATAGTTTACTTTTATTATTTTGATAAAATAATGTAAAATTTATGTTTGACTTCGCTACTCCCGCTTGCCAAGAAACATGCAAAATTTTAATAATTTATTTTTGTATTATTGGCAAAAATATACAGCTAATGGTTTTCTATTGTTTTTCTACGCAATGGTAATAGCATTTTATTTAGTCCAAAGGCCAAGCGTTTATGTATTATAGTGGTCCACGTGGACTGATATCTTTTTTCGAATTCCACTGTAGTATTTAGGCCGGAATTACGATTTTGCAGATGATACTATGTTCTATTTTACCCATGAAAACTTGTTTCAAAGAAATTGATAGTTTTATAAATAAAATAAATGATTATTGTAACGGAAACTCGTTGATAGTAAATTGTGACAAAACAAAATCCATGTTGATTGAAGGTAGTGGAAATTTTAAAAAATTAAATGTATCATCTCAAATTATTTCTGTTGATGGAGTTAAGCTTTAAAAAGTCGAATAAATTAAATATTTATGTTGATACAAATTTACAAATCAAGGAGCATGCTAATAACGTCATCAAAAACATTTCATTTAAATGTGCTTCAGTAGATGTTCCTTAAAAAATATTTACTGTTTTACACTCTGCTATTTATATTTAAGAATTAATCAGGAATCTCCCCGTTATATTTATAAATGCAATACAAGAAACAAAATGTTAAGAGTTTTTTTTCAATGATCCTGTACATTTAATAATTTGCCTGAAGATATAAAATGCTCTTCAATCTCAACAATAATTAAAAGAAAACTTGGTGACTAGTTAGTTTTTCTCTTATTATATTATTTTGTAAATTTGACTTTGTTTTATCATATTTTTAAATGTATGTCGACTATATTTTAAAAGTGAATGGTGTGGATTGTCATGTAAAATAATTATATTTTGATTAAATAAAGGATTTAAATATACAATAAAGCGATAATTAAAATGTATCAAACGTCAAAACTCACCATATTAAACGCACCAAGCAACACAATTTTCCTTAAACTCCTCGAACTGTTCGAAAATCACAACAATTGCTTGTAGGTCGATCTCCTATTTAGCATAAACGAGGGTCATCGTCCTTACGTTAATAATCCGCGTTAATCAATGTCTTCATTAGAGGGCGACTCACTCAATGCCACCCGAAACGCATCTTTGGACGAACGAGCCGGTGACGAGCGGTTAAAACAGACTAAACTCTCCCAAAGAGCAGTTACTACGTCCGGTTCACCTTCGAAGTTACGGAGTTATGAACTAAAATCGCCGACGAAAGGTGGAAATTTGCTTAGGTTCTAGGCGATGGAAACTTGTTGCGTTTTTGTATTGACTTGGGATGCCTTCTTGACCAGCGGCGGACGGCTATGGCATTATTATTAGTAGAAATCTAAAAATCCACAAAAAATTCAAAAGTTTTAAAGAACAATGAAAATAAAAAACATCCTATCATGTATAAGTTGAATTTATTTTATGATTTTCTGTTCTTGATGTTAATGGTATTTGTCAAATAAAACTATTTTATCAGTTTCTACATCGCTTCTATCTATTTAATCAGTTTTCAATAGATTATGGGCCAAGAAGAATAAATAGATCAAAAAAATGCTGCCTGTTAATACTATTATTTTGAGGTTATGTTATTTTCAGATAAACAAATGAATAATAGATAACTAAGGGTCTGGATCTGTTTCAAGCCAGTATGAACCGTTTTTTCTATTACTTTCTCTTTCTCCTTAGTCTTTGATATGATTTATTTATTTTAAATAGCAGCGCCAACATTTTCTCACAACTGTCAATAAGCTAAGCACTAGGGAACTGTCATTTTGTATGATTTTTTAGTTTTTATAGTTTCTAGAATGTTTTTTAGCAAATTTTGTTAGTTGTAAGTCTAAAAATTATTATTCATTGTTTGTTAGCCCTAAAATATTTATTTGGAGAAGTTCCACGTCGTTTCAAAGGTAAGTAAACAAAAAACATGGGCGGTACAGCCATATTGTAGAATGTTATTAGTAATTTTTAACGCAGGTTTCCTACAAACTTTGAAGCAATGGAAATTTGGATTCAAAACCTAGAATTAGGAACGATTGAGGATAAAATTAACAAAAACAGTAAAATATATTGAAAACATTTTTTAAATTATGATTTTGTTATGAATTCTGCCATTTTAATCTTAGAGTTTAAAAATTAATGTTATATTGTATATCCTCCTTATCAAAGTAAAAAAAATCTTAGTGCTTCCTGGAAAGAAAACATTTTATGAAAATATAAACTATTTCAAAGAGTTTCTTGTATCTCCTGAAAAATAGCAATGAAATGAATTATATTTATAGAATGATTATATTGTAAATATTTTATATTTCTTTTTAGGGTAAATATTCTTCCTACTGAATGTAGTAGTGAAAGATAGAGAAAGAGATCTATAATTATAATTTTCATATACTGGATCAGAAAATTAAAGTTGTTCCACCAAAGTTGTTCCACCGACATTGCTCCAGAAGCTATAGTCTAAAAAATAGGTTATTCAATTTATAAAGAAAACATCTATAAAAGAGACAAATATACGATTATGGTATTCTCTAATGTTAGACGATTTTGCTATTCGTAAGTGATTTTAATTTTTATTGTAAGCTGTCATAATTATAAATCGTAAATGCTGATTGGTCCAAATATCTAAGGTTTTTTTTTTTTGAAATTATAATTATAAACTTTATTAGAATATATTGAGGCCAATTCCAGAATTATAAGGTATCAAAAACATAATAAACAGCATACATTTGCTGATATTTTAATATTCAAGTCATAATATTTAGGTCCATATTTTATTGTTTGACTTACCTACGTCCAAAAATCTTAAGACATATATGTCAAAACTTGAAATGTGGACAGCAAAATGCTATTCAAATCGGGCATTAGGTTTTCTTACAAGATAATCATCTCAATATTCGAATTTAAAAGTAATACAATATCTGTATTTTACTTTAGTATCAAAAAATTAGAATTTAATTTAGCAGTATGGACACAACAACCTCAAATACATTTAGATTCGTTTGAGAAAATACAAAATACATTTTTGCGATATCTTAATTAAAAAAATATCATTTATGGCCTGATTATGTCGAAATAAGAAACTCTATGCTTAGAAAGGGTGTGTACAAAACAAGAGTCATGTACGTTAAGCTACTCCGGCGTGAAAAACTAAAGGCTAACTAGTTTAGGTGATGTAATTATATGTCTATCTCTCTCATTAAAACAACACAAATCGGCAGAGAGGTTCATGCTTTCATGAAATAAAGATCGGCTCTCACCAGCATCATGACAATTCTTTTATGTTATATAAAAATCAATTAAGTTCTCTAAGCAAAGATAGTACATAAAACCAGTGGTGGCTCGTGGGGTGGTTCACAGTGACAGAATATAGGTATCAGTACAGATGTATGAAAAAAACTTTCAGTGTTTTATAAAGTTTATAATATACCTTTCTAAAACACAGATAGTTTTGGAATTTCATTGTCCATATGGAGATGGTTGCAGCTAGCACCGACAGGAGACAGTCCACTTGGTAAGCGTGCCTTAGGGCCGTACTTACCTATTATTTGTGTTGGATTCAACTGTTAGAAACCTACAAATCCAACATTCATAATTTTAAAGATATGTTAGGATATCTAAAAGCAATAAATGGCGAACATAGGTTTTTTTGACAAGAAACCATTAGGTACAAAAGAATAATTCTGCACTTGAAGAAAACAGCACATGGACAGAGGTAGAGTTACCAGAGGATAAAACAGGCTATCAAAATTAAATAAGTGTTTAGGAATAAGAAAAAGACTAAAAAAGTGACGTTATAGAATATAAGGCTAGGGTAGTTATTTAGACGTGTTAGACAATAAGGAGAATTCATTTTTTATGTAACTATTTTGAGAATTCTTAAGTTCACAGCAGCACAAAAAATCTTTCTATAGGTGTACCTGTAGTGACTTACATGCACTACATATCTTCTTCATACTTACATAGCGTCACACGCGTCAAATACCCGTTATCCCTTGATACATTTTTATTCCATGGCAGTTCTATAAAGACATAAGTTATAAAAGTCATTTTAAAACACTGACTTCAAAATCGCCCAAATGCCATCACCACATCTTGACTAAATTTATAGGGGACCACCCCTAAGGGAATCACAGAAATCGGACAAGGTGGTAAAGAATAGCCGCTAAACATACATAAAAAATGAAGAGTTTGAGGATTTTATAATGGATCCAATTATTAGATTTGGACCAAATTGATATGGGACCACCCCTAAGGTATCCCCTTTCTAACAAAAAAAGAATTGAAATCGGAAACCGTGTTAAAGAATTATCGCTGAACATACATAAAAAAAATATATTACGAGGAATTAAGAACCTCCTCCTTTTTTGAAGTCGGTTAAAAAGATGAAGCTCATCACCTCGTTGCTAGAAATAAAATTAGTATTATTTCGATTTTGGCTTTTTGATACACATTTTACAGGTATAATAATATACAATATTACATTATCAAATTAATTATTTCTTTATTTATGTGGGATCAAATCATAAAGACCCACCGTACCAGCTAGATCTTAAAAACGTTTTTTAATATGAAGATACTGAAGATTTCAAAAAAGACCTGAAGAAAAAGATCTACCAAATATTAAAACTGAACAAGTCTTTATTTTAAATATGTTCCGGGTGGGCAAATTTCGATATTTTAATAGAGAATCTCCTTAACTATAAATGATATGGAAAGATGGACCTCCCATCCTCGATCTCATTTTTTGGAAAATAAAAAATCTACTTACTTTGATTTGATATGTTCAAAAGACAAATTCATAATTATTATTAATATTGTCGCTGTTATGATAGCGCAATTTGAATGTCCTATTATAAAACATATTTAAAAATGTATCTTTCAACTCATAGGGGTGGGTTTAAGGAGTATATCCAAAATGGACTCAAAGTTTGGTTGCGTCTTATGGTTTGAAGGTAACATTAATATATGACGCAGTTGTTGAAAGGAGTGATAACAATGGTTTAGACGGAAGTAATACGAACGGTGACATTAACGAGCGACGAGTGATATTACCAAAATTAAAGATGAACTGAATATTTCTAGTACGAGTTATATTAACAATAAATAAAAAATATGATCCGAAAGTAACATTTCTAGTATTGAGAGGGCATGCCGCATCGTGTTGAAAAAATATATCTCGTCTCTCATTCAGCGTTAAGTTGTCTAAAAAACCATCGAATATGTGTTCGTTTAAAATTTCTAAATATCGTTGGCCATTTAGTTTTCAAACATAAATTTGGTAGGCTAAAATGTCATTGCCCAATAGGGCACACCAAATACTAAAACCGAAACGTCTCTGATTTTTGACATTCCGGCACTGCTTATGTAAGATTCATCTGTCAATATAATTTTTGAAAAGAATGATGGATTCCGTTTTATCTTTTCAAGGCATCAAGTTCAAAAATTCAGCCGTCGTTCGGGATCGGTTGGTTGGAGATGTTGCCTTTTCCTTTTTTTATAGGCTCTGAATTTATATTTTTTTTAAAACTGATAATGCTCGTTTTCGTGATATCCCAGACCCGGCTTCAATTTGGCAACTTAATATCAAAGATATTGCAGTTACCATTCCAATAACATTGGTGGCAACAATTCTGTATCTTTGGTTTCTTAAAGGTCCCATAATTTATGAAATTTTCTTTTAATTGTTTAAAAATAGATCTCCTTTCCGGGTAACGATTAAAATATAATTCTCTTGCAACTTCAGAATTATTATTTCTTTGAATAAAACACTCTAATATGTCAAACTTTTCGCTATTTTCATAGGCCATTTTGCACTTTTAAGATTTCATAAACAACCAAACGGTATTAAATGATCAGTGTTGTAAAAATGCCGATACTTCTGTCAGAAATATTCTGAATGACACAAACCTACTAGAAAAAAACAGAGTATTATAGATTATTTTGAAAATAATGAGTTTTTGCTAAAAACAATGAAAATTAATAAACTGACCCTATAATATATATCATTAGAATGGGAAAATTTTTGTCTTTTTTTGCATACCACAGCCAACTACCCGTTCCATACAAAAACATACAACTTTATGCTGTAATTCGAACCTGAGAATTTAAAAAAAAAATTGACTACGCTACTGGATTTTTATCAGAAAAGTGCCTGAAGAAGGTGTAAATTATTTTCTTCCATTTTCATAAATTAGCGAGATGAAAAGATGAAAATTTTAAAAATCAACTTTTGTTTATAGCTCGAAAACAAAATACAAAGCCAATTTTTGAAAATGCCATTAAATTTTTCTCAAAAAAAGAGAACGAGTATGGGAGGTCCATTTTTTCGTACCATTTATAGTT